TTCTCGACCGAGGGGCACGCGAGCGCAGAAGGATCTCACGACGCCAGGAGGAAAGCTCGCGGGAAAGATCATCATCAAGGTTGCGGACGAGTGATGTAGATATCGAAGGGAGAAGAGGAAACGTATTTGTATTACTCATATCTTTAACCAGATGGCCTGAAAGTAAGTAAATGGTTCCTTACTGTTTGTTAACCCCTTACATGCCCTGTTCCCAACCTTGCCCTTTATATACCCAGCGCTGCATGCCCCTGATCGATCCTGTTACTTCCGCTTACCCCACCGTTTCATCGCCTGCGCCCAAGCCGCCGCAGGCGGCAAGAAACACCAGCTTTATCTACGGTAGATGAAAAGACTCACAAGAATGCTACCTGAGTGAGCATATGCCAACCGCGAAAGATGCCAACCTCGCCGCCACGAGAACCACTACCGCGAGAGTATTTATCGCGTAGCGGAGCGAAGCCGTCTCTTGTATGTAAGATGCAACCAAAGAAATGAGTTATAGCACGTACACCGGAGACGGTGCTTGATAATCGCAGGCATGTCCGAACGCCGTCGACCCGGCGACACGAAGGGTGACCGGTGACCATCTGTCTTAGACTTTGCCGCCATCTTCTCACTTCTCTCCGCGTCCCGTTCCTCGTAATGCACCTCTTCAAGTAGCCTTCGTCAGCCTTGCGCACTCCTAATTCAATCAGGGGCGCTGTGGTGCGAATTCTGCTAGGAATGGGCGGCGGGAAAGGTCTAGTGCGATCCGCGAGGCCGGTTGCGCAATCGCCAGCGTGAGTGCGTATAAGTGTGAGGTCGAGAAGAGCCTCATGAAGTCCTGTGTGTTGCCCTTCGGCCTTCACCTCGGGAACTAGCAGAAGATGTCGTTCCCAAGCACAATCCAAGCCATCGCTATCGACAAGACTGGCGGACTAGAGGTCCTCGAGAGGAAGGCCTTACCGTTTCCCAAGCAAGAGCCCGACAAAATTGTAGTCAAGGTACGTTAGGTTGCTCGGTGTCGCCCTACAAATCTCTCATAGGATGCTGGCAGGTCAGCTGGGGAGGCGTAAACACTATTGACACCTACTTCCGGTACGCGAATCGCTCGTCTACCGGTTCGACGCCGCGCTCACACCAATACCTTCAGAAAGGGTCTATACCCAATCAAGTCCTTCCCGCAAGCTCTCGGGCGCGAGGCGTCTGGTACAATCGTTGCCCTTCCCACTGACCCAAACGTACTCAGCGATGAGCGGTACAAGGCACGGGGATACAAGATCGGGCAGCGCGTCGCTGCGGTACGTCCCTTTGGTCTCTGAAGCTCTGTCTCAGCGACTAAGGACTGTGTTCCGCGTAGTTCGGCATGGGTGCACATTCAGAGTACTTCTCGAACAACTGGGTTCATATCTTCCCCCTTCCGGATGAGGTCCCGCTGGACGTCGCCGCGGCCGTGCTCTTGCAAGGCGCGTCTCCCTTCATTAACAGCCGCGTGTCTCTCCTAACTATGCTCATAGGCCTCACCGTTGTGACACTGATGACAGAAGCGTACAATGTCCAAAAGGGCGACACGATCTTCGTTCATACTGTCGCTGGCGGACTTGGGCTGCTCTTTACGGCCTATGCCAAGGCACGCGGCGCGATTGTCATCGGAAGCACCTCTACTCCCAAGAAAGCAGAAATTGCCAGGTCTTACGGCGCAGATCATGTCATTTTGTACACGACAGAGAACGTTGTGCAGCGGACGCTGGAGCTCACGAATGGCGAGGGCGTGCACGCGGTCTTTGATGGTGTGGGCAAGGACACGTGAGCTCGTCCTCTACACTACTGCCGGAATTCGTGCTAACATGTGAGACAGGTTCTGGGGCGACTTCGAGATGCTCCGCCGCAAGGGCACTCTTGTCTGCGTCGGCAACGCTTCGGGTGCACCGGCCGATGTGTCGCCACTCAAGCTCTCGCCAAAGAACCTGAAGCTCGTCCGCCCGGGTATGCCAAACTACATCGTCACACCCGAGGAGGCAGACTTCTACGCGAAGGAGCTCTGGGACGCGGTCGAGCGCGGGCTGTTCAAGGTCCGCATCGAGAGCGTATACCCGTTCAGCACGCAGGGTGCGCGTGACGCGCAGGCGGAGCTCACAACTCCCGGAGGCAAGCTAGCGGGCAAGATTTTGATCAAGATTGTGGATGAGTGAGCAAGGAGGGTCCACCGCTTGGCTTGTGCGAAAGTGTAATCTGGTGTGACCTGACCTGCAACTATATATGTGTACCATAGTGTAGTCCGATGGTCGGCGTTGACTGATCTGTTCTCTGGAAGGTGTGGTGCACGTCGCGTGCGCGTCTCTACCAGGTAGCCAGACGACTCCGATTGAGTTCCTCGGAAAAGCGCGATCGACCTACCAACCCGACGATAACAGAACGGTCAAGAGCGGTACAAAAGAAGAACGAACGAGAAAAGAAAGAGCGAAAGAAAAACCCCGCAGAGGGTGGTAGTGGAGATGAATAGGCAGCACGATGGCCGGAGGGTCAGACTGAACACGCCGTGAAGGCCGCGTCATCCACTTGTATTGGCTTCAAATACGACCGAACGGCCGAACGGAAGCGTGCCACAGCTGGAAAATGCGAGTCAGCGTCGGCGGGAAGCCACATACAGGATGAGCGCTACCGTTTGTTATACAGACTCAGACACTCCGCGAGTGATAGCAAGGTGCCCAGTCAATCTCAGAGAACGTCTAGCCTCTAGCGGTCTTGCGGGGTTCAAACGCGCTGCGAGGCCGACGGGCACGCTTCCTTGGCCGGCGTCCAGACTCTTCGCGGCAGATGTCTAATGGCTTTCGCGAGTGTGTCTGTCGTAGTG